GCTTTGAGTGCTGTTGTAGTCTTTACAATCTCTGTCATGCTCTTAAAAATGCTGAACAATGAGCTTTTTGACCTTTAGGAGAGCCTAATTTTTTTCTTTGTGGTGGTACCAGATCTGTTTGTCTGTGTTCTGTCGGAACTTTGGTACTAGCTGTCCAGTATCTCTTACAAACATACATAATTTTGACCTAGAAGTACTTTTCTAGAGGCAAGGTTCTAATTTTGAAATGTAAAACATAATGAAGTTGGCTGCAAATTTGTCAAAAAATAAAGAAAAACGTATTTTTTTGAACAACACACTTCTAAGCACAAAAGAAAGGATACAGAAGACGTAAGAACAAATAAAAGTTTCAAAGTAAAGTCTGTTTCTCGTGTTGTAATCAGAAAAACTGCTCAAAATTAATTTTTTTTTGGCAGGCAATTTGGTGAGTGGGGAAGGCTGGGTTTTTGGTTGCTCTTTCTTTTCCAAAAAGTGCCAGTGATTCTTGAAATAAAAACATGAGAAATACTGCTGTACACAAATGAAGATTTTCAGTTCTCATTCATGCTTGTCTGTTGTAAAATTATCTAGAGTTCATAGCCATTTTTCTCGCAGTTTACCCTATCAGTAGTAAAGAAAATGCTGCCTAGTTAACTTTTTACTAACCTTTATTCAGCTTATAACTTAATGCTGCTTACACTTTTGCTCCTTTTGTGTCCAGCTCTGATGAAGCATTCAAGAGTGTCTGTAGCTTTAAGCACATGAGTAGGTAATTGATTTCAGAAAATACAGATTTGTTCAGAACCTTGATTATAAAAAACTTTTTATTTCTAGCCCTACTTCTTAAGACAAATCAAATGCAACTTTGGTTGAGGTTTTTTTTCACTAGTTATTGCCACATGAGTGTCATACTGATGACCTGTAAGAATGAAGAAAAATTGCATGGGAAATTTGTGGATAAAGGAAAGGAAGGAAAGTTCACATGTATTTCATGCCTCATTACAATAATCCTTACTCGTCTTCTACCATGTGTCCCTCTGGAGCTGTGCCCACCTTCCTCTTACTATTTGCATAATTTCTTTCTTAATGATTTGTCATCATAGTTTCAAATCCATTATGTTACTTCCTTTTGCTGTCTGATTTAGCAGCAAATTACATGTATCGATTCTACATATTCTCTTGGAGAATAAGCATCTTTTAATATCTCTACAGCAATGCTGTACGTGATGAATCCTATAGAAAACATCTTTAACTATCCAAGGCAAATAGCAGTTAAATGGATCTCCAAGTACGTCCTTTCTGCTAAAGTGTAAGTTTATGTGTATGGTTGTACACGCAAAGCTATATTTAATCTCTCTTAATTAAGACGTGTTTCATAATCTTGCCTGTAAACGCATTTTTTTTTACAGTAATCTAGTATGGCTATTCAGACTCCTGTGTCGTATCGTTGTCTCAGGTCAGGCTGAGATTTTTTTCTTCCCTTTCCACTGAAATAATTGAAATATATTCAGGCAGTCTTTCACATCAGAGGTGTAAATGGATTTCTTGAAAGTTTTTCTGCTGATGGCAAACGGCAGTCACTTTACAACTTTGACTCCACTGTGGGCAGCAGTCAGAAAGCTTAACATTCCACCCAAACTTTGAAGATGCTAAAACAGTGTAATGACCTTGAATTCTCAAGGGCAGATGCTCAACTTCTGCTAGAAGTGCTAATCTACAATCTGTTTATCTCCATACAGTGTGTATTTGACAGCACCCGCCTGGAAAGCAAGGCAGGGGAAAGCGTAGTCAAATCTAGTTATTTTTTCCTCTCTGGTGGTGTTAATGTCCAGTGAACTTAGAAACAGTAATCTTTATTTTATCTTTTTAGCTTCATTTTGCTTTTCAGCCTGTCATAATCTTAGAAAGCAGCTACACTGCAGTGTCAGAATATGCTCGTTTATGTTAAGGCTCTGCTAGTGCATGAGCTGGACCATGTAGAGTAACTGTTTTCTTCTGCCTTATCTTTATTCTGAGTGAATGAGGTTTTGATTTTACCTTCAAAACCTAAATCGTCGTCTCTTTTTTCTGTCAGTAGGTTTTAGACTCAGTGTACTCTATATGTTATTCTTTAGTAGGTATAAATTGAGATGCGTCGCATAATACTCATGAGCATATTGAGGAGCACGTTCCTAATGAAGAGGTAACGTGTTGAAGTGTATGCAGGGTAAGGTAGTACCTTTGTTAGATGGATAGACTTTATGTAAACCCTTCTTCAAATCTGGAACAGAAACCTGAAGAGAAGGGCTTTTGCACATAAGAGCATGTCAGTGTTTTCATGTAACATATAAATGGGCTTTGTGTGACCAAAGTTTGTTCTTTTCCAACTCCATCAATTGCTCTGGTAACAGAGGTTCCTTCCCCTAACAAGTCTTGCCTTGCTCGGACCCATAAATCATCATAGTTGCCACAGCACTACTGACTGAAAAAAAAAAACTACCTTGGTTTTAGTGTAATCCCTGTGGTTTTTCAAACCAGCATTCTTTATCAGAATTAAACATTAACATCAAATTACTCTGATTCAGCAACAGCATCTATTTTTTTAATATGAACTTGTCTGTTCTGTCAGGTAATTGTTTAGCTTCCCGGGGAATTGCGTATATGTTGCAAATGGGAAAATTCAACCTTGTAAATCCTTTCTGTGGTGAGGCAACAGGAAACTTGCTTCTGATTATTAAGATCACCAGGTTTGATAGCAAAATTTTGTAAACAATTGCTAAAATCAACCTTTTGAATGCTAGATTTTCAACAGGCTCAGTCAGGATTCTATTTGTGATGTATACTGGGATCTTCTTCCACTCAGCTTACAGCGTGGAATGCACGTAAGAGTTACTGTCACAGAGTGAATGTTTCCTTTTGCAACATTAAATACTTTGAATTAGCAGTGGCTGTTGCTGATTGTGTTAATAGCACCAAGCTTCCAAAGCAAATACATACCAAGTCACAGGTGCCAACCTGAAGAGGAAAGATACTATCTTTATTTATCAGCAACATAAAAGGGAGAGTTGTTTTGGTTTGGATTTTTTACCTTTGTGGTTTTTTGTAACATATAAAAGCGCTATGAAATGCACTGAGGCATGAAGCATGTAAGAAATGACTAATGGTGCTGAATCAATGTGTTCCTTCAGATTTAGAGGTGAGCTGGCTGTACTTACCAGCTGGCAGTTTGCTCTTTCCCCTGCACTCTATGCTCATTTGGAGAACAGGATACTTTTGGTGTATCACCTGCTGCTCCATCCATGCTCCTTTTCACTCATGGCCAGGAAGATCTGAAGCTGTAACCTTTCTGCAATGGTGTTCTGCCATCCTAAAATCACAGGATGCTTAGGGAATGCTCAGGTAATGTTTGAGCTATGTAGTTGTCCGTGGGGAAAGGGGAAGTCTGACTCACGTAGTCTTAGTGGTAGTTCATAAAAGCTGGAGTTTGGTCATGCTGATGAAGTGACCATGTCATACCTACAGATCTTGTCATACCTACAGATCTTGCTGTTAGTTCTTAGTTCTAAGCATCATAGATGTTACTGCCCGCAAATGTTAAACTCCCTGAAACAATTATTACTGCTTCTACTTCTTCTATTTCCAGTATTTTATGATCTATCTTAGCTGTCACAGTTGCAAAAAGATAAATGATTATGGATAGCTAGGCTGGGGGGCAGTCAGATATGACATATATCTATATTTCAAAATATATTTTTTAATTCTGCAGAGCCCTCAAGTAGCACAGCTTAACTGTTGCTTCCTTGATTCTTCTTGTCCGCTATCATTTGCAGCCTTTACTTGTTGCATTTTGTTTTAAGAGCACAACAGGAACTTGCTGCACCTAATGGGCTGTCTGGATCCTCGACTTTTTGTGGACCCAGAAAGCAAATACAAAGCTAGTCGTAGAAGGCTTTTCTTTATATTAGCTTCAGATTGAAGTAAAACTGTGTTATTCAAGGTTAAATGAAAAGCAGGGGACAACTGCTTTATTGTTTGATTGGTTTTCACTTGGAGCCTAAACCAAAAAATAAACATACTTTTAGATGGATGTAAGCAAATTCTGGACTTCTGTCCTTTAAACAATAAAGCTTGTGAATAGCTGAAGGCCTAGTTACTCTTGAGAAATATCTGGAAGAAGAGAAGTCTTGGCTTAGAAAAGTTCTGAGGAAGCTTTGTGAATTAGCATACGTTAAATGATAGAATCATTTTATTGAATTATAATAAAATGTTGAAGTCAGATGGAAGGATGATGGGGAATTGCTATTTGCAGCTATGAAACTGATGCATGTCATGTTAACTCCCAGCCCGAACAACTAATTTTAAGATTAGCTCTCAAGAAACTTAAAATCCTCTGTTTTGTCCAATCATCTGCTTTAAACCTGTTCCTTGTCAGTGAAGACAACGAATCTTTTTGCATGTGTCTGCCTGGGGGATGTGGAAAGCTGAGGTGGTCCTGTGTGATTAAATTAGATGAAAGACTTGCCTTCTACCAGTGAGACATGAAGTCTAATCAAGTGAAATGAGTTTTGAGATCTCAGCTCATTTCCTTGGGGAATATCAGTTTACATTATGCAGTCACGACACCTAATTCATCACGGTTGATGCGGCTTTTGCTTAGAAAAGGACCCGGGACTGGTAGCATGGGGCTTGATCACAAACATCCACCTAAGGAGGAGCAGCTTAGTGGAGTTAAGATACAGCACAGTGAGGGGAGAGTTTTAATATTTTTTTTTAATAATTGATTTATATTTCTGTGTATGAGATCTAGAATAGAAGGGCTTAGGTGCAAAATGGGGAGTGATAGAGGTAAAAAAAGATACTTTGTGCCGAGTATAGTTTATAAAGTGATCAAAGTATGCAGTGAAGACCAAAGTTGAACTTCTTGTCACGTCATTTCTGTGATGAATGGTGTTTGTGTATTTCCATGCACTAAGGTACAAGGATGTAAAGAGCATTCTGCTTCCTTGACTAACAGACTTTTTTATTATTATTTTTTCTTCCAGGGCATTGTTATAACTCCACTTCTGCTTCTACTTTTTGTAAGTATCTTGATCTTAAGATGTCTTTTTACTGGATAATTTTGCATCTATTAGACAGTATATTTAAGACATAAATTTGAGTGATTTAACAATGTTTCTGGACAATATTTGAAATAAGCTGCCTCCCAGAAAGGCCATTAAAGTGTGTTACAACAAATGTGACATTACCTCCACTTTGTTCTGAGAGAATCAATACCCGTTGCTCTTGCAGAGTCACAAAACTATGAGCTGTGAGTCAGGCTGGGTAAAATACACTTGCCAAATAAGTTGATCACTCAGGAGATCTCTTGGAGAGTTTTCACATGCAGGAGCTGGACAAGATTGGTAATGATCCAAAATAGATGACAGGCCAAGTGGGAAAGCGCCATTCACATAAACAGAGCCCCACTCTTGGATGGCTAAACTCATGGGTATTTTTGTGGCAGAGGTTAGTGAGAGATCAGCAGCAGCAAGACAAATTACTGGAGCCCATATGTATCACTAAATGTGACACTGCTTCATTCATTGATTCAAGATTTCTTTTACAATCGTTAGTCTTCAGTCAGGGCCTTGTTTCCTTACAGGTCGTGGCAGAAGAAAAGGGAGAAGACAAATTTTTATTTTTGTATTTTGTAAAGGTACGGGTATTAGTCAGTACACAATTAAGAGATTTTTAATGGTGGTAATGGTGCTTTAGTAAGTCCAGTGTGAATTAGGAAGTCTTGATGCATGTGGAGAGTTTGCTGGCACAAATTGTATGATATGGTGCAAATTACTGAGGATTGTGACTTTGTGAAGAGCAGGAAAATACGCTGAAGCACTTCAAGGATTTTAGGAGAGGTATAGGTTGTCTTTTATGTTTATTTTGCTAATTGCATTGTATTTAAGCCAGCGCTCTCGAAAGAGGTTAAGTGTGATGTTATCCTGAAACAATTTGTAAGTGGAATGCAAGTGGCACTTTGTTTATAGTAGGGATGCTTAAGCAGCATATGTGCTGTATACAAATATAGTAGTGTATCCTAAATTGGTATAAATAGTACTTTGAGAGTGGCTGTAACGTTATCAACTACTGCTTCAGTAAAGCTGTGTAGGAATATTTTTATTTTACAGTATTTTGATTTTACTATAACAAATTGTATTTCATCTGATGTAGCTACATTTACACAAGAACTGCTTTGACCATATAATATATATCAATACACACCAGCAAAGCTCTCTAGATATACCTCGGTCCATAGACTTACTGTACCTTGAAAAAGAGAATTATTCTTAAGAAAAACGGGTGTTTTATTTTTAATGCACTGAACACATTGATTCCAGATGGTCTGCCTTGCTATTTTTCTGTTTCTTCCACCAACATTCACCCAAAGACCTGTGCCTTTTGTTTCTAAACTTCAGCTCTTTTTACTTTTGCTCACTGGCAACTTTTACCCTGCTATGCTACACCTCGCTAAGTTTTGGTGCTCTGCCTAGCCTGAAGGGCTATTTTCTGTAGAAATTGAAACGTTAAGGAATGATCTGCATACTTTTTTGAGCAAGATGAAGATCTTGCCTTTGGTAACTTTATGGACAAATAACAAGGTGTCCCATAAATTGCAGTTTTCACTGTTACCTCTCAAAAGAGGTGGTAAAAGTTAATATGTGCAAGAATAGGAGGGCAAAATGTATGCCTCTGTTCTTGCTGTCAGCCCTGGAGGCACTTGTTCGAGAAGTGTGTAAAATGAATTATTTTTTCATCAGAGTGATAAACAAACTAGGTAGGGGATGGGGCAGTTACAAAAGCTGCATTTTTCATCACAAAGCTCAAAACTTGAGGTCTTCTCTTGAAGTATATAACTATTTAAAACTATTTGAGATGTTTGCTGAGGACTTGACACATGAAGAGCAGCCATTCTGGTCAGTCCAGCAGTGCTTCTTGCCAAGATAAGGTCCACTTTCTCTGAAGGTTCAGTTTATCCAGTGGCAGGGATTTAGGATAGCAAACTAAACATGCACTCTCTGCTGCACTGTACCTGTACTGAGTAGTTACTGTGGAGTGAGAAACACTGACTAGTGATTTCCCAGTTATCTTTCCTGAACCATTCATTAGTTTAGTCATGCAACTTAGCCTTAGTGCTTAGTTAATAAAGGGTAGAATTTTCAAGTTGCAAGACAAAACGCTCATTTACCTCAACAGTAGCTGAGCTGGGCTTCTGAATACCGTTCAGAGACCTTTGAAGTCAATGTCTTCAGTGAATTTTAATTCCTGAATTTGGTACTCACGAGCCTTAACTCTTCCACAGAGTCATGCTATGATAGCCTGAATGCTAGTAGATTGTATTAGTGGTTCTATTTGTTCGTCTCCCTATATACAGTGCTTAAAATACCCTTAGTGCTGCCAGAAATAAAGTAAATTGCTGTCTGTTACCTTGCTTTTGTTACATAGCGTAACCTGCAGTAGTGGTTATGGTTTAAATTTTACCCTGTGTGCACCAGACCATATAATATTCTGAATAGCCTTTTCTGTTCATAATTGCTAAGTAATGTAAATATAAATTGCCTAAACAACATTGATAGAGACATGTTGAAGCTTATGATAAATAATGCATTTAATGCGAATAATTTATCATCCTAAATGAATGGTGTTGAACGTAAGATTGTCAGTTACATTTCTGAAAAGTGTATTCCTACTATGAAACTTCAGGTGTAAAGCTTACCCCAAAAAAGCATTCTAGGAGGTTCTAATTGACTTTAATGAAACCTTAAATACTGAGCACATAATTACTGGACTGTATCCTTGTGAGGATGCCTAGCTAGACTGTAAAGAATAGCTGCCTTCACCATGAATACCTCTGATTAACGTTTTACTTAATAAGAAGCCATTGAATCTTGCCTCCCAGATGCATTAATCTGCAATATCACCCTTCTCACGTTAACCTTTATTATTAACAGTGAATATGTTATATACCCAGCAATGTTGTTATAAATGAGCAATGCCTCATAAACTATATATAATTTATTAGAGTTCGTATATGTGGTGAGCGGGAGTGTTGAAACAAAGTGCTGCAAGACACTTCAGTTTCAAGTTAACAGGGGGCTATGCTGTTCACATTTCTTTGCAATATTCTGCAGTGTTTCATTAGTGATAATTAGGAGGCTTCGTACCAATGCGTGCAGAGAAGGATGCTGCCTGTCTTCCTCTTGTCAGGTCACATAGTTAGCTGAAGCTAGTGGTAACACATTGATCACACAACTGTTTAAAGTAGAGAAATAAGTTTTATTTTCTCAAAGGCGTTCGGAAAAAAAAAACAAAACCTCCACCAACTAGAAATTGCAATGTAGACTAAATTTTGCTTTTCAAAATAACTATATTGCTGTCAATAAATAATGACTATGAATAGGTTAACTGATGCCTGAGGAAGTTAGTCACTTGGGTATGAAAACAGTACTGTCCATCTTTACTTATCATATGACTTGTTCTCTATGTTCAGTTTAGTTGTTTCCTTTAATAACTGTAATAATATTTTATGATTTGCAATAATAGTCTATGATTTGAATTCGTAAGTATGCTGCATTTGGGCACATTCACATTACTAAAAGACAGTTAAATAAAAGGTATCATTATACTGTGAAGATAATAGTGCTGTGATCTCTTTAATAAGCTTGAGATATCAGCATCTTTTTATGATATCGTATTTGAAAGACAGGACTTCAGGAGCACTGCACTTTGCAACAGTTGGAGCTGTTATCATCACACTTATGACCTTAGATTCTAACTTTAGTAATGAAAAACAGGCATATGTATCAATGTAGGTCTATTTTCTTTGAGATATTTCATATGCCTTTGTATTGCACAGGATGGAGGCCAGCCTGATGCCTCAGCAAATCTCTTGGATTTGCCGTGGAAGCAGAGTGAGCATAGATAGTGCACTACCATGTAAGAGGATTCACAGTGACCTTTCTCTTGAATCACAGAATGTTAGAATCACACACAATATTAGGAGTTGGAAGGGACCTCTGAAGATCATCCAGTCCAACCCCCCTGCCAGAGCAGGATCACCTAGACTAGGCTGCACAGGAACACGTCCAGGCGGGTTTTGAATGTCTCTAGAGAAGGAGACTCCACAACCTCTCTGGGCAGCCTGTTCCAGTGCTCTGTCACCCTCACAGTGAAAACGTTTTTCCTTACGTGGCTCTATTCCTTTCCAGCCTCACTGGGAAAGCGTTGCCCTTTCTGTCCTTAAAGCCGGGTGAGCACATGGACTGACAACTTTAGTAAGCCACAAAGGCTTATGATTTTGTTGATTGTATTTGGTATCAAAATAGAAGTCAGTCATCTGCACACTTGTTGGAACCAAATGTGATGGTGTGTTTTTTATGGCACAGCATTCCAGCTCTACCACCTTCTTGGTATTACCCTTATGACTCAGTGCCTGACAGATGTGGTCTCTTCAGTTGTTGGAAGAACAGCCAGTTAGCTATCAAAGTAACAAAAGTCAGCGTGTGTGGATCTATGTATCTTTATTGAAAGCCATCAAAGAAAGCGTTAGAGATAACTAAGTGTTTTACATTTTATGTACTTTACATTCTTCAGAAGCATGCCTGCAAAACAGTTAATGTGGAATGTTAAAGAGCTGATGCAAAATTCATGTATATTTTTAAAAATACACTTGGCAAAAAATTAGATGTAACTGTCACACATTGCTCCCATGTTTGCTGTTTTACCAAAGAAGATTTCCATGACATTTGTGTCAAAATGGAATCTTTCCAAGGCTTTATCAGCTTGTTCCTTTTCTTGATTTGAATAAAGTGATGTTTTCTTTTCTGGTACCGTCTCAAATTTCGGAATTTTATAGTAGGTGTTTTTATGGTGGCGTTGTAGTGATGATGCTGCAAGTACCACAAAGTAGCATCACTGAAAGAATTTCAGGAGAAGACATGTGAAGGAAATTCTGGACAAGTACTGCAGAGAAAACTGAAGTAAAATGACTGGTGAATAAGAACATGAATGAAAATAGAACCTGATCAAAATACTGAAGTTA